CCCCTCCCCCCCCCCCTTTGAGCGAAGCACAGAGCGAAGCGTGCATTTCACACCGAGGTACGATTTTCAATTCGCTTGACAGCCGCGTTGTTTAAAATAACATCAAAAATATTAGCGACGTACTGGTGACGAGAAAAACGAGAGCCGCCGCCCTACCTCTTCTTCCCCCCCCCCCTCCCTTTAACGGGTTTAATAGAATATTCACGACGGTAATCTTTCGGCGATGTCTTTCATCAGGTTTTCGCATTCGTGATAAATTTAATCTTCAACGCTTTGTAACGAAGGCTCGTACAACGCACGCGTTTCGAAATGAAGAAAAAAGAGGTGCAGGATATGAGAGAAGCGATTCGAAAGGATAATAGAAACGGAAGCATTAGAGCTACGTATGGATGAGGAGGGCTTTTTGTCAGGAATATTCATTGGCACGATTTTCGTGTGGTGAACGATAGAATGAACTTCCGCGATAAAGTTATCGTTGCATACACACGGGCTGAATCGCCGCGCGCGGTCCCCCGTTACGGAGGCGTGTAAACTGTGACGTCGAAATATCACACAATCCCCGACCGCCCGCGCCGCGTATAATAACGATGTCGCGTATACTAATATATTATCGATACAATTCCTCCAAGGATTCCATCAAAATTATTTTCTCTCGTAAAAAATAATTTACTCCCTCTCTCTCTCTCTCTCTTTACATATATTTTTTTACAAAATTATTTTGTAACGTTCTATTACATTCGCGCTTTATCCACCTCCGTATTTGATTTGCGTTTGATATACATCACCGTCAATAACAGTGTTGCCTCTCTACGTTTAAACAAAGAGGGAGAAAAAGCGAGAGAGGAAAAAAGAATATTACACACATTTTTACGTCAATCTAAAGCAAAACTGTGTTGTTCATCACCATTTATTTGATCCATTACGATGGAATATCGGTCGGTCACCGATCGTCGATGACCCCGAGCGAACGTGTTAGCCGGTGAATGTTATAGCGACCGTTGTATCTTTCAACGATAAAACAAAAATCAGGACATCCATGTCATGCTGCCTATCCATCCTGCCCGGCTCACCGAACGTAGCCTTCATTTTGAGATAAATAATTCCATCCAACCGGCGAACGATTCGCGCCATTCCGGATGCGATGATAAATGAGTACGAACGGAAGGGGAAGGGAGAGGAGAACGCGGGTCCTATACATTTATGTGCATGTATTGTTACGTACTTTTACGCGATATCTCTCTCTCTCTCTCTCTCTCTCTCTCTCTCTCCATTTCTCTCTAGATTTTAGTCATCCCGGTTCACATTATTATTTCAATGCGTAGCTATTCTGTAACGATTGCATGAGATTAACTCGCGTTTGCGTCAGATTACCAACAAAAGTTACCTTCATATACCCCGTATTTTTCAAATGAAAATTTTCTGAATTAAGTACCTTTACGCGTTAACTCAACTTAAACTATTCTTTTATTCTCTCTGTATGTGCAGTTTCATTTCTTTTTCTTTTCTTTTTCTCGTTTATAAATTCCTACTACGAAATTATGTGTTCTATATATAGGATGCAAAGCGAACCCGATTTTAGATTGCGTAAATGTAATAAGGTCGGGGAGAAAATTCGTCAAAGTAATGATCTATCTCGCCTGGACGTCCCACCTTTGCTTCACGTGTGCGGGCAGGGTATTGAAAATCGCGATGCAGGGACACGCGGACGCGAGGGATGAAACGAGACAGAGAGAGAAAGAGACAGAGAAAGAAAGAGAGAGAGAGAGGGGGGGGATTGAGTGAGGGGGCTGATGGAGGGCGGCGTGGGAGGGTGAGGGGAAGGAGGACGAAGAGTCACAAAGAGAGGCGATCGGGGATGGAGAGGAGCGCGAGAGGTGGTGAGAGGGCGAGTATCGCGATACTCCATCGGACAGAAATCGATACAGGGACGGCCGGGGTAACCGGGTGCGAGGGGGGAGGAAGGACGGGTTGCCAGCCGGGGGTTTCTGTATTTTTCGTGAAAGCATTACGAACTCGTCCGCAAATATCTCCGGCGCATGGCTCTCAGCTATGCTCGGGGATTTGCGCGCGACAGCTTCCGATGGCCGGCTTCTCTCCTCGGCGCGCGAGAGCTCCCGACGCGGACGCTACCGACAGGTATCGAATTTCATTTCGAAACTAATTCCCCAACGTGAATCGAAGATCGGACGCGTCTCCTATTATCAACGAGCCGATGGAAGACGGATGTATTATAGTCGTGGCAAGTCACCCCGACAATTTCTGACACGTTTTTCCCGAGGTGTCGGACTAATCGCCCGGATCTCTCTTCCCCCGTCATGTTCATCGTGTTCCGCGCCTTTCGCACGCTACACTTTCAAAAAAATGGCAGGATCAACGTTTTATCGAACGAGCGAGGAGAGGAGGCAGCGGCAGAGGGGGGGGGGGAGGGAATTAGAGGGAGAAGGATTTCTCCACTTCTCGTGTCGAATGAGAACCACCGTGCTCTTCGCCACGTAGTGTTGGCAGAGTGCTCGTGATCGATTACTCGTCATCCACGCGCGATGTCCCGAGTTCGACGCCCACCCGCCCACTGCCAAACCAAACGTACTCCTTTCTTTTTTCCTCCACTCTGTTTTTCCCGCTCCTGCCTGCTCTCGCATTCGTCCTTCGCCTCCTACCTCCTGGTCCACGTGGTCATCGACCGTGGACTACGCGGTGGACTGCCGCGCGAACGTAGACTGCCCGCCACGAATGGACGTTCGTTTTTTCGCTTCTTTCTCTACCACGGCCGCGGCCCCCCCCCC